AAAAAAAAAAAAAAAGAAAGTGCTAACTGGTACCTCAGAAAGGGTGCCTAGATAGCAGAATGTCCACAGTGTGGCCATTCCAGGCCACGCATGACTGGGACCTCGTATTTCTGCAGCATGAAACCCAAACATACAAAACTCAACCACCGTGCCCCTCAGTCTCCAGCCCGGCTCCTTGACATCTGTCCTGACCATTCCTTAGAGGGAGTCAGTGAAAAGCAGAAAATTGAGGGGTTACTCCTATGCTGGAATGACGCATCAGTTCCAGAAAAATAGCACAGGGTCACATCCACAACCATGCCCCAGGACACCGGCCTCCTGAGGCTAGGTGAGTGATCAGTCTGCCCGGCCCTCTTCCTACAGCTCAGTTGTAGGAAAGGTAGTCGATGAGCCGGGGAGGGATGTTTAACTTGGCGATTTTCTCCAGCCCTCGAACTCCAGTTGCCTTCCTCAAGGTCACTCTGCAGAGCTGAGATAAAGTCAGAGGTGTCTCTACAAGAAGGGAATCAGAGAGTAAGGGAAGTTAGATTTAGGCCCAAGCACAGCTGATGGATGTGAGGGTGCAAGTGGAAAAAGATTCCCTTTACCCTGCAGTTAGGATGGGACCAGGAGGAGACCTCTGAAAGGTCAGCAGAAGGGTGATTGGAGGAAGGAAGAGCAGGAAACAGAATTCTTGTAATGTCCATGGAAATTTAATTTTGTGGCTTTTATGGCTTTTAAATGGTGGTATTTGTTTTGTTTTTGTTTTATGAGCCAGAGAAACTCACCTAGGATGGGGAGAATCATTTGTCAGACATTCAGCCAAACAAGGCACAAGTGGAAAGTTTGTACTAGAGCGGGTGGTAGTGGCTGCTGGCTGCTACTCCAAGCATGAGGTCTCCTTGGCCCTGTGATGTTGAAGCTGAAGCCACAGGGATCCCAAGAAGAGCCCTTCACTTATACAAAAGAGCTCCTACCCACAACATCCTTCAGTGGCAAAAGATCGGAGCTGAGGCTTAAACACTAAGCCATCACAGGGAGTTCCAGAAGAATGAGCAAGCTGGGGCGGGGGGGGGGGGGGGGGCCTAGCCTGGTGGCCTGGCGGACACAGGACCATGTAGACCATGTACACAAAGGAGCCCAACTCACTTTCATAGTACTCAAAGCACTTGGCTGGGGCACTGCTGCTCCATGTGTAGTCGGATGGTTTCTTCCCCCTGTTGTCGCGGGCATAGATGTTGCCTCCAAACTCAATGAGCATCTCAATGAGGTCAACGTTCTTCACCTTGGCTGCATGATGAAGGGCAGTCTCATGAAGTTTGGCTGCATTCACATTGGCTCCTGAAGGTCCAAGTAGAGAACATGTATCACCAACAACAGAACTTGGGGAGCCAGGGCAAAAACTGGCTTGGACTTGAGCAGTGTACTGAAATCACATGCACAGGGACCTGATGCATCTTTTCTCCATTCCCTGGAGCGTGGCTCTCCTTAGATTTTCCAGCAGGCCTGTGACCAAGCCCAACAGTGCAGAATCATTACTTCTATAAAAATCCATTTGTGAAGCCAGGCACTGCTGGCTCATACCAATAATCTAGCTACTCAGGAGGCTGAGATCTGAGAATCATGGTTTGAAGCCAGCCGGGGCAAGAAAGTCCATGAGGCTCTTATCTCCAATTAACTACTAAAAAGCCAGAAGTGGAGCTGTGGCTCAAGTGGTAGAGTGCTAGCCATGAGCAAAAGAAGCTCAGGGACAGCACCCAGGCCCTGAGTTCAAGCCCCAGTACTGGTGTATGTGTATATGTGTGCGTGTGTGCATGCGCACACATGCGCGTGCACGTACACACACACACACACACACACAATCCATTTGTAAATAGATAGGAATAATCTACTGCTTCTCATTAGTTCTCTGTGGGTTTGAAATGTTACACAATTTTTTTTAAAAAAAAGTAATTCTAAGGAAAAGAAGAAGCTAATCTAGTTCATCATCCAAGGACTCCTGAAAGTAAAGTACTTAGCCATCAAGTTATATGTAGAGCTACCAGCTTCAAGAAGACCTTGTAAAAGGCTATACTATACATTTCCAGCTCTCTCTCAGCAATGTGCAATCTGGCAATGTGGAGTAGGGATATTGGCAAGGAGTAAATAGACCTCAGCTCTAGGACTGGCCCTAATGTGTCCAACCTGCTTTCTCTACTTTAGTAACTGGTTTAAATAATCAAGAGTTGAATGCATCAGAAACTGGCAGAGTTTTAGCCTGAGGGGATCTGTTTAGCTTTGGACATGGGATCAAGTTTGGGTCAGTAGAACATTAAGGTAGGTATGTTGGAGGCATTGGGAAGAACAAGCAAATGTTTGGATTATTTATTTAGTGTCAGTACTACTGCTTGAACTCATGGCCTTGGAGCACCCTCACTCGGATTTTTCACTCACAACTGGTACTCTCCCACTTGAACCACACTTCCCTTTCTGGCTTTTTGCTAGTTAATTAGAGATAGGGTCTTAGGGATTTGTCTGCCTGGACTGGCTTCAAACCAAGATCCTCCTGAGTAGCTAGGATTATAGGCATAAGCTATTAGCACCCAGTAAAGTGTTTGGATTTTTGGGGGGGTCCAAGACTGGGATTCAAACTTGCTATCTGATACTTCTCACTCACTGGCTGGTGCTCTACCGCCTGAGCCATGTCTACAATCCCAAGTGTCTGGATTTTAAGTCTGAATGTGCTATAACCACTGACCACTGCCCTAGAGAATAGTTAACATGGAGTGAATCACAATTGCAAAATTCAAAAGCATAGAGGGTTCTGTGACATTGTTGAGCCATGAGGTTGGCTACTGAGCTTCCCACCTTTGTTACCTGAACTTGCAAATGTTCTCCATTGTTTTCCCCCAATTGGACCTGGTTTCTGCATTACAGTCAGCCTTCCTTGTCCCTGAGTGCTGTATTCATAGATTCAACTAATTGAGGATCAAAAATATTTGGGGAAAAAAAGACTGCCTCCATCCTAAATATGTACAACTTTTCTACCTTGGAGTGCTCTTTGTATTGTCTTTTTTTTTTTTTTGTCAGTCATTGGGCTTGAACTCAGGACCTGGGCACTGTCACTGAGCTTTTTCACTCAAAGCTAATACTCTACCACTTTGAGCCATAGTGCTACTTCTGGTTTTCTGGTGGTTAATTGGAGATAAGAATCTCACACTTTCTTGCTCAGGCTGGCTTTGAACTATGATCCTCGATTCTCAGCCTCCTGAGTAGCTAGGATTACAGGCATGAACCACTAGTGCCTTTTCAAACTTCACCAGACAATGACTGGATTCAAATGCTCCTTTCTCCTAAATGATGCCTATCCCTATCAGAGCTCCTTCTCTCTTTGGTGGGTATTGTGAACCCTGTCTGTACTCGACAACAATAGTCATTCATATTTGTTAAGCGCCAATTGTATATTAGATCTTATGGATGCTTTATTAAAGGTATCCCCAGGAGCCCTGCAACATAGATTTTATTTTCTTTATAGAGAACCTGAGCTCTTTCCCACCTCTCTTTCCCAGCTCTTTCCCAGCTCTTTCCCAGCTCTTTTCCAGGTCTCTTTCTCAGGTCTCTTTCCCAGGTCTTTCCCAGCCACGTGGAGGGCCAACATGGCCTGGTCCCAGCAGGTCTACTGAATAAACCTACCGCTTACCTGAATACCACGTGCGTGGTGTGGTTCTTACTCGGCAACCTCTTTTTAAAAACCTAATATAAAGCCAGGAAGGGCTTAAAGTCAGGATAGGTGGGATTCCTCTCCATTTTTTTTCTTTTTCTTTTCTTTTTTTTTTTCTCTTTTCCCTCTTTTGCTCTGAGGAATACCCATAGTTCTTTTTTTTTTTTTTTGGGTCCGGTCATGGGGCCTGAACTCTGGGCCTGGGCGCTGTCCCTCAGCTCTTCAGCTCAAAGCTAGCACTCTACCACTGGAGCCACAGCACCACTTCCGGCTTTTTCTGTTTATGTGGTGCTGAGGAATTGAACCCAGGGCCTCATGCTTGCAAGGCATGCACTCTACCGCTGAGCTACCTTCCCAGCCCCTACCCATAGTTCTTACGGCCTTTTGCAAACCCATCTGTCTGCTGTGGACACAGCGCATCAATACCATTGCTGGCCTTCACATCCATGTCCACACCACTTCTTTACTCTGGTGAGTGAAACTACTCTATACGGCTCTCTGTTGCTCAGTCTCTGTTCAGATGTGGCACCACGCAAGAGAGCTCCTATGGCCTCTAGATGAAAGGCCGATCACCTCTGAAGCCAAGGACGCTTGGGGCTTGGCCATTTCTCTCTAGAGGGTCTGGGGGAAATCGGGATGCCACTTCTGCCTGGTCAGCTCTCCTTCACTCACCAGACTGACTCTCCTACACAATTCTCAGATGTAGACAGTTTTTTGCCACTGCAATGGAAAATGGTCAGAAGTCTGTTTACTTTCAGGCTCTCTTTGCTCTTTCTCTGCCATTCATGTCCAACTTTCCCTATCTCTCCTATTCTCTTTTCTACATTTTGGCTTGTGCCCTGAAGAGTGCGAAGCAGGCTGGGTCCCGGGGACCCTCCTCTAGGTTCCCTCGCAAAGGCCAGCCAATGTAGGCTTGATCTATTTGTTCAGAGTTTCTTTGCATTTTTTCAGAAATTTGCCATCTTGAGTTTGCCATCTTGACCACATGGTGGGTTAAGGGTTTGACCCCATCTAACCCTTAACCTTCCACCAAGTTTACTACTCCATCCATCTATTCTAAGGTGCCTTGCTAACAAGTTGCTCTTTTCACAGGCCCTGGTAACTGATGCCCAACCATCTGATGTGCTTTGTTAGCAAAGATGTCTACACATTGTTGTCAAAATTTTAGGTTTTGAATTTTGTCTTTTTTGTTTTGTGTTGTGTATTCTACTACTGATTACGTGGTTCTAAAATTCTGGGCCTATCTGTGCTAAAATCCTCATCACATCTAATGAGTTTTGTCATTTCAGAATATTTGTTGGCAATTCTTGATAAGGACCAGGTAAACTCTACTTATTCTACTTGATCTCCTTGTTGCTTTAATTGGAAATAACAAAGGGCTTTTGTGGCAAAGATTGCAGTTCAAAGCCAGCCCGGGCTGAAAAATCCCCAAGATTCCATCTCCCAACTAACCTGCAAAGAGCCAGTCTGGAAGCATGGCTCAAGACTCTTATCTCTAACCAACAAACACTGCAAGTGGTACTGTAACTCAAAGTGGTAGAGTGCTAGCCTTGAGCAGAAGTGCTCAGGGACAGTGCCCAGGCCTTGAGTTCAAACCTCCTTGAATACCAACTGGGACAAGCCATCCCAGCAATGAGCACCTAGACTCAGCCAGTCTGGGGAACAAGGGAACATGGAGAGGAGTAAGAGGAGATAATGTCACATCAGCCACTTTGTGCCTGACCTTTCAAAATTAACCAGAGCCAGGAAGTCAATATAAGTAAGAAGTCTACCCATCCAATGTCTATACCTGTCTACCTATTAACTGAACAGGAATTTATATTCTTGCCTTTGTCACCTGACTTCTCCTCTACCTAGTCGCCAGATATCAGAAGTAGCTAGGGACATTTCTACCAACATTTTCAGCACCAAGTCCTTCCTCTTGCCATTTATTTGCTCTCTAGTATTTTTTTTCCAGCCCCTCAATGCCTCATGAGACTTCTCCAGACTTCATGGACTCACACCACCAAGGGACAGCTGCTGCTCGCCACCTTCTCTGGGAGGAGACCAAATTCCAGCCTTTTACCCCTAATGTCAATGCCCCTTGTCAGCAGGAAGTAGCCAGAGAATCCGCGCCCAATTTCATGATTATTAAAAGGCTGGAATGTAAGGTCCGCTCCTGGATGGTTAGCAGACTCCACCCTCTTCACCGCAAGGTCTCCACCCAGTACCTGCATTACCTAGGCAACTGGCACACCTGGAAGGGGTCACATCGGCATCTGCTGAGGTCACATCTGAATTTGATGTGGCCACACCTTTCTCCGCCCATACCCTAGATAAGGCCTAGCCCAGGCCCAGCTCTCTCTCCCAGCTCTCTTCTCTTTCCCAGCTCTCTCTTTCCCGGCTCTCTCTCTTTCCCACGTCTTTCCCAGGCCTTTCCCAGCTGCGTGGAGGGCCAACATGGCCTAGTGCCAGCCAGAATGATGAATAAACGTACCCCTTATCTGAAAAAAAAAAAAGTGAGAACCTGAGGCCAAGGTCTGTCTTCCTGGTAAGTGGGAGAGACTGCTTCAAACCATCACCCATCTGTCTCTCCTGGCCAGCTGCTTGCCAGATATAGCATAGGTAAGACATTCATGCAGATAAATACAAATACAGGGAAGCAACCCACACAGGTAAACGGCAGCTCAGGTAAACCACCACGCACCTGCATTGAGCAGCACTTTGACACAGTCTAGATGCTCCCGGGCACAGGCCACATGCAGAGGGGTCCCAAAATGGCAATCGTGTGCTTCCAGATTGGCCCCAACATCAATAAGAAGCCTCACACATTCAGAACTCCCTTAAAATAAATGGAAAAGAATGGGAACATTCATGAATCTGCTCACTGAAAACGATACGCATGGCAAACGGCAGCTGGGACTCACTGCCTGTGCTCAGGTACAAGAAACAGAAGGGGAATTGATGACATGTCCCAATCTAGGGAGTGGTTTACAACCCTATACAGCTCTGGGGAAGGCCGGAGATGCTGTCCTTTCCTGAGGACTGTGCAGGCTTCCAGCTCACCTGACAGTGGGGAATAGGTCATATCCACCCTCTTGCTGAGAATCAAAGATTTGGGACCCCACCTGGGAACACCTAGGGAAGGAAGACTGGAGTCCTTCCTCCCTGAGGTGGCCCTTGCTCCATGTCTTGGCTCCTCTGTCAAAAATCAGTTGGCTGCCGGGCACCAGTGGCTCACACCTGTAATCCTAACTACTCAGGAGACTGAGATTTGAGGATCGAGATTCAAAGTCAGCCTGGGCAAGAACGTCCGTGAGACTCTTATCTCCAATTAACCACCAGAAGGCTGGAAATGGTGCTGTGGCTCAAGTGGTAGAGTGCTATCCTTGAGCTGAAGAGTTCAGGGACAGCGCCCAGGCCCAGAGTTCAAGACCCATGACCGACAAAGGGAGGTGAGTTTATTCTGGGTCTTCTGTGCTATTTCGTTGGAACTTGAGTCATTTTTACTGCTTCCCAATTTTTGTACTTCTGTGCAAGCCAAATCCCTCTCCAAAATCTTTTTTTTTCTTCTTTTTGTCGGTTGTGGGGCTTGAACTCAGAGCCTGGGAGCTATCCTGAAGCTTTTTGGTTCAAAGCTAGTGCTCTATCACTTCGAGCCATAGCATCACTTCTGGTTTGTTAGGTAGTTCACTGGAGATAAGAGTCTCATGAACTTTCTTGCCCAGGCTGGCTTTGAAACATGATTCTCAGATCTCCAGCCTCTTGAGTAGCTAGGATTCTAGGCATGAGCCACCAGCACCCATATCTTTTAAATGAATCCTTTCCGTGCCAACATCCCCCTCTGGGCTCTGTGTGCTTGGCATTTAGATCATTTCAATGGTCCCTAACATCAACTCACCACTCATGCAGGCCTCGTGCAATGGGGACGCTGTATACAGAGGAGGGTTGACCTTTGCCCCATAGGACAGCAACAGCTTCACACACTCAATGCTGCCTGAAGCACAGGCATCACAGAGAGGGGTGCTGCCATCAATGTTGCGGGCATCCACCTCAAGGAAAAGAAACAAATGATAAAGGACAGGCTAAAGCCCATGTACCTCTCTCTTATCTTCATAGATTCATCTTTGCAAAGACAACTTGGTATAAGCACAAGTTTGCTATTATGTACTAAGGCACCATGCCAGGCAAGGGAGTTCAAAGAGAAAGATATGCAGGTTGGAGGTTGGGGTGGAGGCAGTGGCAATCATGATCCTAAGAATGGAAGACTCCCATTTCCTGTTCTTTCTTCCCTGGAAGGTCAAACTTAGCCTCACTTGCCACCACCTCCAACAACTACTGAGCATAGAGCACAAAGGAGAACCTGGGGTTGCAAGCCGGGAAGAGGGTATAAAGATGGGTTTTAATTCAAGCCTCAGCTTAAAAGAAGCACCCAAGGCTGCCTTAACACGCCTCATCTAGAATGAAAATCATAGGGCAGAAAAAGGAGATCCCCTGGATTGGCAAGTCCCACTCTGAAACTATTTTCAATTAACCAGCAAAATGCTCAAAGTAGAGGTATGGGTCAAGCCAATTAAGAGTGCCCTGAAAGCCAGGCACTTCTGGCTCATGCCTGTGATCCTAGCTACTTAGGAGGCTGAGATCTGAGGATTGTGCTTCAAAACCAACCAGGGCAGGAAAGTCTGCAAGACTCCAATCTCCAATTAACCCCCAGAAAATCAAAAGTGGAGTCGTTCCTCAAAGGGGTAGAGCACTAGCCTTGAGTAAAAGATCTCAGGGACAGTGCCCAGGTACAGAGTTCAAGTCTCACAACTGACCAAAAAAATACAACATTACCCAGGGTGTGCTGGTTGGCTCTGAGCAGCCTGGTAGTCTGCCCACTAGAAATCGCTGGCAACTTAAAACTAGCCATGGTGTGCTAGGGAAAGAACCAAAGTCAGAATGTGTAAAATGTTGTTCCTTGCTGTCTGCCCCGCCTCCAGAAACCTGGTTTTGCCAGAACCCCATTTAGCCATCCTAAAATCTGGAACCCTGCTCTTTGGGCCTCAACAGCAGCTATTTGGCATACACCCAGCTTCCCTCCCAGAGAGCCTGTGCCTGGCGTGTGGCTGGCCTGCCTGTCTCTGCGTACTATAGGCGGGCGGGGCGGGGGGGGGGGGGCACACTGCCACCTCTATGTTAAAGTTGCCCCATCCATGAGCTTTTCCAGGCCCATTTCTCTTTCCTACCTCTAGAGGTCTCACTATCCACTTCCGCAGCTGCCAGCCAAGCTAGGAGATGGTCCCCAGGGTCACTCACCTGAGCACCAGCCGCCAACAGCAGCTGGACGCACCGCGCCTGGCCCTGCAGACTGGCCGCGTGCAGGGGGGTGATGGAGTCCACCGTGACCTGGTTAACGCAGGCGCCGTTCTCAATCAGCTGCTGTAGCTGCAGGCTCTCACCCCTCTGGGCAGCCTCATGCACTGGGGTACGCTCCACCCAGAAACCTAGAGAGGAAACCAAGCCCCTGCTAAGACACTGTCTCTTCCACCCAGGTCCAATGAACATGTGTAAGACTTCAGAGCCCCTGAATGACACTCAAGGCACCAGCTGTGTTTGTGTAATTGGTCCCAACACGCTTATTAAAAACCCACTAGCCATCCCTAGTGCCCAGAGGGTGGAGTCCAAACTTCTCAGCTGGGTATGTAAGGGAACTGCTCACATCCAGGACTCCATCTCTCACCACTGTCTACACAGAGGCTGGACTCTGCAGGTACACCTGTAGCTAGCTCATCACTGACCCCTGCAGTTCTACACACACACACACACCTCTGACTGCTGTACAGTCTCAAGAAGTTTGCCACTCCTAGGTAAAGAACAAGAACCTGCCAGGAGCTAATAGCTCATGCCTGTAATCCTAGCTTCTCAGGAGGCTGAGGTCTGAGGATCACAGTTCAAAGCCAGCCCAGGCAGGAAAGTCTGAGACTCTTATCTCCAATTAACCACCAGAAAACCGGAAGTGGAGCTGTAGCTCAAAGTGGTAGAGCGCTAGCCTTGGGCACAAAAGCTGAGGGACAGTGCCCAAGCCCTGAGTTCAAGCCCCGGGACCAACAAAAACCAACAACAAAACAGTAACTTATGTATAATTGAGAGGGCTAAATATCACTTCAAGGTGGGTGCTCGGAGAGCAAAACCCCAAGGTATGACTTTAAATCTATCCATGAAGAGTGAGTGCACTCTCACTGTCATTTTGTAGTCTGACTGGCCAGGCCTGAATACAGGTTGTTTTCATCCCTTGTTCTTGAACCCCAGTTGTTAACCAGACGTTTTCCCTCCCCAATTCTAGTGCTCACTGCCTCCCTGATAGCATGCCCTCTGGAAAGCGCAGATGGTGTACTGTTCTAGTAAGTTCCTCTGGGACCAGAGTTTTGCCTCTAAATCCTTGCCACATAATTAGGCTACTGCCATCCCCCTTCCCCCAATGCAACTCAATAACAAGCTGGTCAAGTGGGACCCGCTCAACATCCCCCAGCCATTCTTCAGGATAAACTCTGCATGCAAGGCATCCAGCGCACCTTGACACCATACTGATATCAATATGATCACAGACCATCACCTGGTCTCATGCCTCAATGCTCTGTAGGCATTGTTCCTTCCCAGGCCTAGAACACCCCTCCCCAAGCCCCCAGCCCTATCTTCCCCCCACACACACAAGTGAGTCAACTGTGAGTTAAATCATCCTCAACCAAGACTGAGTGGAATGTCTGCTCTTTCAGGAAGCCTCCAATTATGCCGTCTACCCACCCATGCCCTTTCTTAAACCCTATCTCTACCAATGGCTGATCTGTATTCTTCTCAGCCTTTCTGCTAAGGTAATCACCTGGGATCCTCCATCTTCAGCATCGATCTGACACACAGGGATCTGAATGAATAAGTAAGCAACTTCTGCTTACCAGACTGAAGTTCCTACCCTGGAAGCTGGCTCTGTCCCTGCCCTGACTGAACTCATCTTTCAGCCTCTTACAAGTCTACCTAGTCCTAGACAGTGACCTGAGAGGCCAGACAAGGCTATGACCACACAGTCTGGACACACCCGCTAAAAGGAAAATAGGTGCTATAACAAAAGCCAAGGCTGTAGCCCTGCATAGCAATGTGTTTGGTGATTGGTGGTTCAGTACTAGCAGCTGACTCTAGTCCGTTCTTACCTCTTCCAAACTTGCTTGCTTTCATGTGTTTACTTGCTACTTGTATGCCTGAATAAGAGATGGCTAAGCAAAAACTTTAGCCTCAGAATGAGAAGGCTTCCTGAACATCAACTACATGTTTACTGCTAACTAACTGCTGAGGTCACCACAAGAAGAAATGACAGGTAACTGCAAACCCTCATACCAGTCCTTTGCCCACAGGACCTTTCAAGCGCAGTATCTAAACCAGCATGGACCTTTCTTGTTCACTATTCCCGCAGCCCTCTCGGCCTTTTGTGTCCCCTTCCAGACTACATCTGAAGGCCAAGCCCAGACTAGGACCAAACCTGACTCGAGCCTGAAAAGCCTTAGTGTGAGTTCTCAGCATAGATCTCAGCATCAGTCTTTCCTGAGGGAGTTGATGTACACGGTAGTCCAGCCTCAAAAAAATCACTCAGCTCATGAGTTCAGATCCTGTCTCTGTCACCTACAAACAGCTCTGCCATTTTAATCAATCCATCCACACAAAATTCCAGTCTCCTAACCTGTAAAATGAGAAGACTAAATGAACTAATGCTTGGATACTGTTTTATATAGTGCCTTGCCAATTCCAAGTAGTAACTGATAGATGCTGTAACTATTACAAGATTATTACTAACACTATTAGTACTTGTTTTGGGGGGCCCAGTATTGTGGCTTGAACTCAGTGCCTTACACTTTTGTTTGGCTATTTCACTCAAGACCGGTACTGATACTTGGAGCTGCGCCTTCTTGTCCAGCTTTTTGCTGATTTTGGAGATCAGAGTCTCTTGGATTTGTCTGCCCAGGCTTGCTTCAAACTGTGATCCCTAGATCTCAGCGTCCTGAGTAGTTAGGATTGATTATAGGCATGAGCCACCAGTGTCCAGCTACTATTAGTATTTCTATGAGTCCTATTTGGAGCTCCTGAGCCAGATCTTTGTTCTGTAACAAGCTTCCCCCCTCCCCCTCCCCACACACACATACTATACTCTAGTCCTAGTAACTAGATCCTCTCCCTACTTCCCCCCAACTCCCTCATGAGTTCACCTGTTCATTTCCTGGGCCTCTGAGACAGAACCTACATTCTTTGTAGTTGGTGTGCCTGAGCCAGCCCCACACAGCCCACTGCTATATCACCAGGAATTCTGCTAGCTAGACAGCCTTGATGTACTGATATCAAGAAGGGCAAGAAATCGATTTCCTCTTTTTTTTTTTTTTTTAATCTCCAGAGTTCACCAGTTCACCAGCATCCTACTTGGTCATTCCAGGGGCAGAGTCCTGCTCTTTGAGCCCTAGTAGTGGTTGTTCAGCCCAGACCTGGCTGACCTCCCAGAGAGCCAGGAGAATGGAGCTGGCCAGCCCAGGCCGTGCCCACTGAAAAACAGAGCAAACCCTCCTGAAACCACTATAGCAACGAGTATTTTCAAATCCACCAAGGACAAAGCTGATCCAGCAGTGTGGCTTTGAACTAGGGCCAAAGATCCATGATACACTCCTAAATATCAGAGAGCCGGGGAGTCTTTCTTTCTTTCTTCCTTTCTTTCTTCCTTTCTTTCTTCCTTCCTTCCTTTTGAGTAAGTCATTAAAGGGAATTTGGGATAAGTCCTCCCTGAAGATGTCATCTGAGGACTGAAAGCAATCTCCAGGCTCTAAAATAAGCTCTTTCCCAAAAGCACCCCAATAAACACTCTTGGAATGAGAGAGCTAGCCCTCAACATGCACCACCAATAAATGTAAGGACAGGAAGAAGGTCAGCCATATTTGTCAGAAAAAGAACTATGAACAACCATGAACAGGAGTGGGAAGCTGAGGGTTTTTCTGAGGGTTCTCAAGAGGCTCACCTTTCTCTCTCATGGAAAAGCTGAGAGTCCTAAGTGACTTATCCCCCACCCCCACCCCCCTCAGAATGCTAACAATGAATGCTAGAGCTGCAAAAGACCTTAGAAATCCATTACAATTGCTGGATTTGCCAGGCATCCAGCTGGCTCTTCAGGAGGCTTGGCTAGAAGGATCACAATCTGAGGTTGACCCCAGGCAAAAATGCCAGACTTTATCCAAAAAACAACTAAGGCAAAAACAGCCAGGGAGTGTGAATGGCTCAAAAAGAAGAAAACCTGTCTAGCAACAGAGACCCTGAGGTCCAAATCCCAGGACAGCCCATAAAAGAAAAAGAAATTCTTCATAATTGATACTCTCAGAAAAGGACAGTAAAAATAGATCATTCCTTTGTCTCCCATCTGTTTCCTGAACTTCATGATGATGAAATTAGCAGTTGCCTGAATTCCCGAGTAATATATATATATATATATATATATATATATACACACACACACACACGTGTGTATTTATTTTTAGGAACACCTAATAGTTTGGTTTTCTTCCTTTAAAGATGTTTCAACCATGTCTTTTTAACTTTTTTTTTGAAAGCCCCCAAAATATTCTGTTCAGTAAACTTGGGGCCAAATGACACATGGTGGTTTAAAATACATTGAATGGAAGTAAAAACTTAAAATGTTTGCCTTCCCTTAAGGGACAAACCAGACAAAAATCTGGTATGAGTGGGGGGAAAAAGGAAAGTGAAACAAAATTTGAAAACAAAAGATAAAGAGAAAAGAAGTTACAAATAATCTTTAGAAAACTAAGAATAGATTCTGTTGCCTTAAGGATGGGGGTGGGGGGGTTCTTCCAATAGTGGGCTTGTTAAATCCAATAAAGAGCCTTACACTCTTACCATTCCTCCCCAGTCCTCATCCAGTATCTGTTACACCTTCCCATGGCTCTAACTACCCCAGGAGGCATGTTCTCCTCCATCTAAAGCTCCAACCACAGAGCACAGTGAGCCTGGACTTTGCCTCAGAATGATATGTCCTTTCTTTTCCCTCTTTCTCTTTTAATTTTATTCACATACATTAGTTGTACAAGGTTGGGGGTGGGGGGTGTTCCATTCTGACAGTAACACGCATTAAACAACAATGTATCCTGATCATTGTCCTTCCTTCCTTCCCTTCCTTCCTGTTTTGTAAGACAGGGCATCCTTCTCAGCTGGCCTTGAATTCTCCATCCTTCTGCCCCATCCTGCTAAGTGCTTGAATTACAAGCATGAATCACTACACCTGGCTTGTCTTCTCCAGTTCTGATGAGAACTTTAGGGATCTATTTCATTTTAAATCCCCTATGCCTCAGTTTTCTTATGATATGAGGTAACATCTCTCATGGCCATTTGATGGAGAAAATAAGATAATGTTTTACCTATAAAAGTGATCAGCATTTATAACTTATTGTTTCCTTTGATTCTGTTCTTAGACCTAAGACTTCTCTGGTTTGTGAACAATGTCTTTTTGAATTCTTACTTTAGGATAAGTTTCCAACTGTATCCCTCTACCCTTTAAAAGATGCCCTGGGATACTGCCTTATTTTGGAATCCCCCCCACACACACACACACAGAAGTAAAGGAATGACAGAGTTGAGGACATTTCCATTTAGAAATAGGAATCTTCTTAGTCCCTTCCCCCAAAGACCTCATCAAATGAAGAGTAAGGAGAGAATAAATCCATGTAAATAAAACAAAAACCAAGAGAGTATAGAGACAAAGTTCTGCAAGTTCAAGAATACGTGGGGAGCCAGAGAAGACATGTGACTCTCCTTAAATTCTATATACTGAGTAAAAAGCTCCTAAGATTCTGCAATGCCTCTATGAGGCATTCTAGGTCACAAAAATAGGAGAGATCAATCAGAACGTTAAAATGAGTGAAGCATCCACTTCCACTAATAGAATTATTGTTTTGAACACCGTTAGGTTTGGAAATGTCAGCAGAACATACTTTTAAAAGAAGCGTATTGAATTTTAAAAAATGGCAATGTCAAAAATACCCACAAGCCCCTAAAGTTGTGCATCCATTAGTTTAGAACCTGTTGAGCAAACCATGAAGAAAATACACTCAGAGCTTATGTCATGCTATTGAACTCTACCTGAGAAAAATAAAATGGGTGCCTCCTCGGGTTTCACAGGTTAGCTATTCATGGCATGTTCTCTTGCAGCGATCACACACAGATCACACAGTCAGGGTCAAAGTCCGTGCCGCCCGCGGTGGAAGGCCAAGGAAGACTTATTAAATGCCTTTGATCATTTGCAGGTGGTGTGCAAAATCATCTGAAATATCTCTGCCACGTTCTGAGGGCCATTGCTCCCTTCAATTAAGCCCCTAACTTAGGTCTTTCATTTTTATTCGCATGTGTGAAACACACACACACACCTTCAGTTCCTAGCTTTCTGGGTACTTTTGCAGTTCAATTCATTTTGTCTTATTAAACACGGAAAGAGTGTCGGTTTACCCTCGGATCCACTGTGTTCGTGGGCTGCCCAAAAGCCAAGGGAGACGGGCTTGTAAGCTGAGAGGACGTGGGGGGCGCGGAAGGGGGGGTTTGGGGGAATCGCAGCCGGCGCGAAGCACCCAGCGACCTCCTGCCCGCCCTCCCCTCACCCCAGGGCCATCAAGTGTGCCCCGGTGTCCTCACTCCAGGGCGGACTCCGGGGCCACCTCCGTGGGATTGTGGGTGACTTGCACACCGGCTGACCTGACAGCAGCAGGCGCCCCGGGAGACGTTCGGGGACTGCCCGGCCCGCGCGCCCGGCGGACTGGGCACGCGCCCCGCATCTCCCGCAGGGTGCGCGGCGCCCGCTCGGATGGCTCCGCCGCGCCAACCCCCGGCGCGCGGGACGGCACTCGGATGACCAAGCCCGCCGGCCGCCCGGGGCGCAAGCCGCTGGGGACGGGGCTCGGGACCCCGGGGTCGCCGCCCATCCACCCACCCAACCGCCCCAGGGCACCGACCAGCCGCGAACTCGGGGACCCAAGCCCCCCGAGGAGCTGCGTGCGTCCCCGGGAGCCGCCGGGCCCCGGCCCCGCTCCCTCCGCCGGCCTCGCACGTACCCACGTCGCCCAAGAAGTAACCGTCCGCCGCGCGGGGCTCCATGCGGGTCGCCGGCCGGCTCTCGGCGACTCCGGGTGCAGGGACCGGAGCGGCGACGCGGCCCGGCCGAGCCGCCCCTGGGCGGGGCCGGCCCGGAGGTGGCGCGCGCCGGGAGTTGTAGTTCCCGCCGTCCAGGGGAGGCGGGGGCTGGGCAGCAGCCAGCTCCCGGCGCTCACTCTCCGTCCCCGCTTCGCCTCCACAGTCAGTGTGCATGTATGCGGGATGTGTGTAAACGTGTTGCTCGTGCGCGAATGTTGATAGTTGCAGATCGTGTATGCAGGTGTCAAGCACGGCTCCCTGTGAGCAAAAACAAACATCCGTGTGCAAAACGTGCTTGGGGCGCAAAGGGGTGTCCAGATGCACAGGGTCCTGCCAACCCACTCCCCTGCTTTGCACTGACCACGCTCGGGAGAGGCATCCAGGGCTCTTTATTACTTAACTATGAAGAAGCGCTTTCAGGTGTTCACAACAGCCGTTTCTTCCCCTTCTTTGTCAATCATCAGGCTTTTAAAATCTGGACCATCTGCCAATAATACCTATCCTGGGTGCAATCTTTTCCTATGTGGGGAACACTTAGATCCGAACTATAGCAGTCAGTGAGATATATAGGCTGTAGTGGAGTGATTCTATCTTGAAAGGCACAAGAAGTCCTGATCTGATATTTGAGGTATTAATAACGTGTCATTACAAACTGGAACACTAGCAGTCAAGCATGCAGCGATAAGCACTGCAGTTATCCCCTGTAAGCTGGGCTCTGGCAGGCCATTGCTAGATACTTAGAAGGCTCAGATCTGGGGAGACCTGTTGTAAGGATCTTGGTTCCAAGTCGGTCCAGGCAGAAAAGCCCAAGAGATTCTTATCTCCAAGTAACCACCAAAAAGCCATTAGTGAAACTGTGACTCAAGTATTAGGGTGCACATCTTGAGCAAGAAACGCTCAGAGACAGCACCCAGGCCTTGTGTACACACACACATACACACACACACACACACACACACACACAAATTACCAACTATAGACAACTGAAAGGCTTGAGATGACCAAGTAGATACAAACTTTATTCAATTTAGGCTCATATAGAACATAGATGGATACTGGAGAAAAGCTGCTGATTTTTCATGAACTTGATTAGGGGAACTGCAGATGCTGCTTTATTGTTAATGCATAGCTACTGGTGTGATGGAAGTGTTCACTATCTCTATTTGTGAAGACCCAGCTGGGGTGGCCTTCAGCAAGCAGGAATAACAATACAGTGATATTCACTGTATTACCTCAGGCCTGTCTCATCATTTTGACTTTGTGTCATAATTAGACTGCAGAAATCTTTCCTTCTTTCTTTCTTTCTTTTTTTTGCCAGTTCTGGCCTTGAACTCAGGGCCTGGGCTCTGTTCTTGAGCCTCTCTGTGCTCAAGGCTAGCACTTTACCATTTGAGCCATAGCACCATTTCTGGCTTTTTCTGTTTATGTGGTAGTAAGGAATCAAATCCAGGGCTTCATGCATGCAAGGCAAGCACTCTACCACTTAGCCACATTCCCAGTCCCTCTTTTTTTTGGTTGATCCTAGGGCTTAAACTCTGAGCCTCGGTGCTGTCCCTGTACCTTTTTTGCTCAAGGCTAGCATTTTACCACTTTGAGTTGTAGATCCACTTCTGGTTTGGGGATGGTTAATTAGAGATAAGTTTCCACAGACTTTTCCTGCCTGGCTGGCTTCAAACCATGATTATCAGATTTCACCTTCCTGTGTAGCTAGGATTACAAGCATGAGGCACCAGTATCCAGAAGCTGTAGAAATCTTGACTGTCTCTCCATTCAATGTCTTATTGCTCTAGTCCATTGTTATGATAGTATAATGTTTATTGGTTCTGATGAACAGGAGTGTACATACACACATTTAGTAAGATATATGCATAAAGACAGTAGGAAATAAATGCCACCCCCCCAAAATCATACCTCAGGGAAATTTAGAGTGAACTGGGGCATGCACATCCAGGTACCACTTCCAAAGTGAAAAGGGTTCTGGATGTGAACACTTTTTGTCATGCCTGAGGCCCTGGATCCAGCTCCCAAGTACTACAAAGAAAAGGGAAAAAAACAGAAAGAAAAACAATGTGAAAAAAAATACCTGACCCTACAGCCACTAAGAAACATGATGGTGAATAAGCTTCCTTGGGTTTTTATTACAACATATCCCCCAATTTCTAATAGAAGCATAAACAGACTCTCATTTGATCTTTAATTTCAGCTTCTCAGAAGTCCTGGGGTAGGTGTGTATGTTTATCTCCATGATAAAGGGCATTGACTTCTGTTAGTTAAACATGTTAATGAAATTGGAGATTAAATGGATAAAGCTATGAATTTCCCTCTAATCACTTCTTTGGCTGCATACAAGTTTGTTGTTATCATTTTTTGCCAGTCCTGGGGCTTGAACTCTGGGCCTGGGTGTTGTTCCTGAGCTTCTTTTTTTTGGGTCCGGTCATGGAGCCTGAACTCTGGGCCTGGGCGCTCTACCACTTGAGCCACAGCGCCACTTTCGGCTTTTTTTCTTTTTGCTTATGTGGTGCTAAGGAATCGAACCCAGGGCCTCATGCATGCAAGGCAAGCGCTCTACCACTGAGCCACCTTCCCAGCCCCTCCTGAGCTTCTTTTAATCAAGGCTAGCATTCTATCACTTGAGCTACAGTGCCACTTCCAGCTCTGAGTAGTTTATTGGAGATGAGAGTCTCCTAGACTTGCCTGCCCAAGTTGGCTTTGAACCACCATCCTCAGATCTCAGCAACTTAAGTAACTAGGGTTGTAGGCATGAGCCACCAGTGCCCAGCTTTTGCACACAAGCTTAATATGTTATTTTTTCATTTTTATCCAGTACCAGATGTTTTCTAATGTCTCTTATCTCTTCTTTTACTTGTGGCTTATTGTTATTGTTATTATTTTTGTTGGTCCTGGGGTTTGAACCCAGGACTTAGGTGTTGACTCTGAGCTCTCTTTCTACCACTTTGAGCCATAGCAGCACTTCCAGTTTTCTCGTGGCTAATTAGAGATAAGAGTCTCATGGGGCTGGGAAGGTAGCTCAGTGGTAGAGCGCTTGCCTTGCATGCATGAGGCCCTGGGTTCGATTCCTCGGCACCACATAAGCAAAAAGAAAAAAGCTGGAAATGGCGCTGTGGCTCAAGTGGTAGAGCACTAGCCTTGAGCTGAAGAGCTGAGGGCCAGCACCCAGGCCCTGAGTTCAGGCCCCATGACCGGACCCCCCCCCAAAAAAAAAGAGTCTCAGGAACTTTCCTGCTCTGGCTGGCTTTGAACTTCAATCCTCAGATCTCAGCCTTCTGAGTAACTAAGATTACAGGTGCAAGCCACCCGCAACTGGCTTTTTTTTTTCTCCAGTCCTGGAGCTTGAACTCGGGGCCTGGGTGCTGTCCCTGAGCTTCTTTTGCTCAAGGCTAGCACTCTACCATTTGAGCCACAAAGCCACTTCTGGCTTTTTCTGTTTTTGTGGTACTGAGGGATCGAACTCAGGGCTTCATGCATGTGAAGCAAGCACTCTCCCATTAAGCCACATTCCCAGCCCCAGCTATTATTTTTTAACAATAACAAAAAAAACTATGTTTTCATTTCCTGGAATTTGTTTTGATAAATAGAATTTTAAATGTTCACAGAAGCAATACAGTTGGGAATTCTTCAGCTATTTGGTCATTGATTTCTAATTTAATAAAGAATAAATACACAATAACTCAGTAGTTCTTTCAGTGTTTTAAAATTTAACAGTATTTATATTGCAATGCACCATATATTCCAAACACACATTAAAAGAATGTGTGTGCATGCGTGTTGGCAGTGTTATTAACTGAAATTCCTATAACTTCCATTAGGTCAAATTCTTTGTCAACTTTCAAGTCATTTTTTAAAAATGTTTCATTCACTTCTATCAATTCTTAAGACTAGAGTTTCCTAAGCGAGTTCCCATTAAACTTCAGTCACATCAAATTATTTGCCATGTTTCAAGTCTCTCTCTATATATATACTATATACTTACGTTCCATCTATTTATATCAATTCCTGAGAGAGTAGAGATTCTAGCTATTAATGTGGATTTGCCCTTTTCCTTTTTAGTTATCAAATCCTGCCTTATGTTTTTGTTTAAGTTTGAATTAAGTTTTGGTGTTTATTAACTATCCTCTTTACTTCTAGTACTTTTTAAAAAAATTTTCTTGATAGTCTATATTGTTCAATATAAACAAAGATTCCAATTTTCTTAAGATTTTTTTCAATCTTTTGTTTTTAGCCTATCTAAGTTCTTATAGTTAAAGCACGTTTCTTCAATTTAGCATATACTTGGGCTTGAAAAATCTTCACCTTTTAATTAGCATGTATAGTACATTTTAATTCAGTGTATTTAGTGATATAGTTGGGTTTGCTGATTTTTTTCTTATTTGTTCCATTTGTTCTTGTGTTTTTTGGTTTTCTTCCCTTCTTTTGTCACTTGTACTTTTGCTGTAATATCTAAGAAATTATCTAATGTAATGTCCCAAAGATTTACTCCTATGGTTTCTAAGTGTTAAAGTATTTACACTGACATTTAGGTCTATAATCTATTTTTAGTTAATTTATGCATATGGTGTGAGGTAGAGTTTCATTTTTCATTCTTTTTGATGTATTTATATATGAACCCCAATAATAAATATCTAATACCCAAAGGGTTAAACTCCCTTAGCTGCCTCTGGAACATCAAGGCCAGCCTGGGCAGAAAAGTTCACAATTTCCCTTCTTAATCAATAGCTGAGTGCTGTCATGCATACCTATCATTCTAGTTCCATGGGAGGACTGTAGGATTGGGCTAGCTTGTGCAAAAAGACCACCAGACTTCATCTCAGTGAAGGAAATATGAGTAGTAGCACACGCCTGTCATCCTAGCTACTATGCAAAGCCTAAAATATGTAAACAGGCAGAGTGTGGCCTAAATGTGGGTGTATACCTGGACAAGAAGTGAGACCATATCTCAGAAATAAAAATATCTCCAGTGGCACAAAAATAAGCTGAAATCATAGCTCATGGGTGGAAATCCTGC